ATATACCATTGAATATGTATTGTACTATAACTATACCGAGTACCGACCCCATACCTTCCCGATGCTACTTCAATAGCTATTCCGCAGTGTATTTGCAAAATATTAATACATACACGATACACGCACATTTTGGGTTTATTTATTCATATTTTATGTATACCTATTACAGTATTACCTATATGCATAATTAATAAATATTACTTATTAGATAGGTACAGGGGGTAAATTATAAGAGTGATGAGGTGGGTGGATCTCCACAAAACTTTTATTTTACTGCTAACATTTTATAACTTGGGGTAGTTTACTGTATGAGGGCATGAGGCTTACAGATTATCCAAAAAAACCAAATTCCTAATTACGCCACTGGGTAGGTACGTTGGATTTTTTACTGTATAGTACTGTGCCCAATGCGTATTGGTCTGTAACTAAAGGTAAGTACCATAAATCATAAGCTTTAACATAATATATTATACAGGTTATGGCGTTGAACAGCGGAAGTAATCAAAAGACGACCATGGACGCCCTTTGAGAGCGGCTGCGGCAGACGATCACGTCCGGCGTATTAGAATGACGGTCCAGGTAGCTCTGCCCGGAAGGAGAATCGACCAGCCAGTAGGAATCGATTTGGTCGTATCGTACTACACGGTAGGGATCCGTATACATTATGAAGAACTCATTAATTATATTATTATTTTTTTATTGATCTTAAGCCCGCCGACTAAGGCCATTAGCTGTTGTAGGGGTAAGGTTTTTGGTACGGTAGATTGTTTTTACGRTTGTTAACATGGTAGCTAACACGTGTATGTGTCATGTGTGGCAAGGTTTTTAACTACTATGAACCTGGGTAGTGGGTGGTCACCCATCTGGGAGCTAGTAGCCGTAACCGTATCATATTATTGTAGGTACCTAATATAGTAATACCTATGTATTATATATTGTTACCTAAAAAAAAATTAATTAAAATATTACTGTTACTTATTTCAAATTTCCATATTTTTTTTATATATTATACTTCTTAGACCCGTTCTTACAATCTCCGGTTAAGTGTCGGTTAAGACTAACCGGTAGAATTCTATCGGTTAAATCATGATAAATTCTTCCGGTTAGTGTYATCAGGCACTAACCGAGCATTGTAAGAATGGCCCTTAATTTTTAAAAATGTCTATATAGGATACAATAAAAATGTATTAAATTACAAAATCTAAACTCAACGGTTTTATGGACCTAGGTACATTATTATTTATAAAAATAGTCCCTGATTATCGCACGCACTTCGCACTTCGTCAGTCATTATATAAATATTATAATATTATATAGGTACATCGTATATTGCAAGTATAGTACCGTATAATTTCCCCATAYATCATCACTATGAATTGCATAAATATAGATTTAAATAATATTATTTTCACTTATATTTGTTGAATGTATTTTATTACCTATAAGTATAACGTGCCTAATTAAATTATTAAATTAGATATTTCTTTAAATTTTGAATTGTGTAGATATGTGTGCCATTACGCGGAACAACACATTTGAATTCAGTATAGATCCAATATCTTGATTATTAATAATTTTAATATAACAATAAATTTATCTATCATTATTAAATTAATTAATKTWACGAATAATACTGATCTATTATCTGTGTACCTACGAGAGTTATTTTACGATATTTAATATTTATACTTATGCAAGTTCTGAATAATATGTAAAATATAACAATTAAAAATATCCATCAATGTAACATTTCACTTTCATCCTTTTTAACCTAGTGAAAAATTAACAACATTTTTTATGAATTTCAAACTTGCAAAACTAGGTATTTAGAAATTTTAACAATTTTTTCAAAAATCTARACTCGTACGTATATAAAAAAAATATTGTGGGTATACATTTTCGATATTTGTTAAATTATGTATGAAAATCGTATGAGAAAATGTATATTAAATTTACAAACTTTTTGACAGAGCGAATATTTTTTTATTAACTTTAAAAAAAAATTATCGAAAAATATTTAGAAATAGCTAAAAAAATATTCAGATGTTTTATGAAAATTTTGTTTTTTTTCTTGACGCCATTGAAAAGTACTGGGTATGTTTTTCAACACTTAAATGTTAATTAGATCTAACTATCTATCAAAAAGCAAAACAGCATCAAAGTTTAAAATCAAAAAAAATTCATCGCTTCGATATCAATCTACAAAAACACTCTTGACTATATAAATTAGTTGATCTATATCGAATTGTTAAATTAATTTTAGATAAAATATCAGATAGCAGTGGTTGGAAAATCTTGAGTAGATAAGGATAACTACTACCAAGCGGCGGCGAAAATTATGCGAAAGCAATTCCTGCGGTGTTGTCGGTTATAAACTAGAAAAAAAAAATATTAAGATAACTTCTACCTAGTTGTCGAAAAGGACTATGCATGGCTTATAAACAATAATACAAATTATAATAATAGATACATTTATAATGTTGAATTCAAACATGTATAATTAACAAATGGTCATGTTATACACAATAAATAATATGGTCAACATTATTACAATATATCAGCCGACAGCCATCAACTAAAAAATTAAAATACACAATGAAAACATTGAACAACGATAAAGTATTTTTTAACTAAAACAAATATTGTTATTTTAAATGATAAAATTATTTAATTTTCCTAAGTTGTATAGTAGGTATACAAATAGTATAATTTATTAATTAGTCATGAACGTATGACGTAATAACTAGAGTAAAAAATTCCAAATTATAATTTTGCAATGACTTTTAATTTGTAAGAATATCTTATTATTTTTAAACTATTTATCCTGCATATCCAAACATATAATTGTTTATTTCAGGTAATGACTGTGGCACTTGTCAGTGGATTCGGCCTCCTGGGGTTTTTAGCTTATTGGATTAGAAAAGCTTGCTCGTAAGTTATAAAACTATACCTATAAACTGTTAAACTGTTACAGTAGGTACATCAAAAATCATTATATGTTATTAACATAACAGACAACAGCTATATTATAGTAGAATATGCAAATAATTTCGTACTACTCCCACTACTGGCTACTGGCTACTATACAAACAAAATACCTATATTCGAATTATCAACGACAAATGATTAATTAAAAAGATTAAATGTTACTAATAAAAGGTTATTACTATTATTACACAAATGCAAATATTTAATTATATAATAACAGGACACTCGATATTTATGATGGTTAAAAACATTCTCTATTTTTGGTTAAGTGAATATTTGTCAAACTTATCTTACGAGTAAAATTTACAGAGCTTATAATACGCACATCACATAAATTCTCACATATTAAAATATCATAATGACATAATATGTATATATTGTATAATTTATCGGATTTCTAAGCTAATATACGATAATTATTATTGTTTCGATGTAGCAAAAATATAAATAGGTATCACGTGACATAAATATTAACGCATGTGGCACACCCTACAGCTGTGCATATATATATTATAGTTATAATTGCCATTTTTGTACATCAGCGTGTTCATGTGTGGTCCAAAGTCGACGTTAGAATTTGACTTGCATAAAGCTTGAGCTCACGCGATATATTTCGACTATTGTTCGTGTGCACACAGAYAATGACCAACGACCGTGGTTAATTCCCACATCATATATATTATTCGTCTATATTAAAATACGGAATAATACATATTACATATAATGTCGACGACCAGTAAAACATAGCCAGTTTTAATATTTAAAAAAACTGAACGGGCCACAGCACGCACTTGTATTACAGCAATAGTGCAACGCAAAATGCCTTGGCCGAATGGCTGCCGCAACAACAACACTCGTACGATCGTATCCGTATTGCCACGTTCACCCCGATCGGAAAATTGTGTCGACATAAAGCCATCATCATCGGACGTGGGTTCCGCGCGACCCGTCCACAGGGTGAACGGACGAGTCGCGTCCCGAAAGCCMGACCGTAGTGTCGTCAGATCGAGGACCGTGTGTCCGTTTAGGTTCCGGCTCGCGTGGTGGTCCAGGCCCGAACCTCCCAAACATTTCGAAGAGTTGTGTGACAATTGTAAATTTGATCGTGGACACAAGTTAGGGAAAATTTATCCTCTTTTTGTTGCACCCCYTAACGACGAAATTATATTGCCATTGAATTGTATATTAGAGTATAACGATCTCTCACTTCTGGTTTGTTATTCATTGTAGAAATGGCAGCCGGTATCAGTACACGGCGTTGGAACCGGATTCCATGGGACAGGAACGGATGGAACTGGAACGTAAAGCACGACAACACGCTCAAAATGCATGTAAGCACTACTTGAGGTTCTGTCCTCGATACGCCCTTCTTCAACACCTCAACGACATTGGGTCGAGGTGAGAATAACTAAGATCATAAAAATGTATAGCCATAGCTTAATAAATAACATTACGTAGTAGCTGTTATAATTCATTAAACAATTTACAAACTTTGATTTTATATGGTATTTAATACTACATTTTTAACTCAGGGTGGACAAACATTGGTTTGTAGTACGTGACGGATCTGTCAAAACAGAACGTCTATTGACACTTGTGCCCAAAAATCCCAAAAGCGTTCTAGAGTGCACATCAGAAACCAGACGTACCATACTAGATCTTTTTCTAACATTACAACATCCGTATATATATCCCGTAYTGGATGTAGAGTTTGTTGAAGGCGCAACTGATCCAGAAACAACATTTATTACATTAGTATTACCTTTCAACAGTAAGGGAAGTCTCAAAGATCTTATATATAAGGTATTTTTGTAATTATTAAAATAATATTTTGATTAAAAATATAATTTGATGACATAATAAATTTAGAGCTGTTGGCATGATGATTGGAGTGATAAGTACGGACAACGCAGTGAAGGTTTGCCATTGTCACAGATACAAAGACTGGGTCGTCAGATTCTAGAAGCACTTTTATTCCTTAAGGAGAGAAAGTTTCCACATGATTGTAATTTACATTCGGGCAATGTAATTCTTCAGAATGGCGTGGCCAGGTATTTTTTCAAAAAATAAAACATAATAAAATCATGATTAAGAATGTATTAATTGATGTTAAAAAGGATCACAGGCTTAGAAAATTCTCTACTTGGTTTTACATCAAGAATTCAACCTATTGTTATGAGTGGTAATTTCATATTAGATGATTTTTCGGCAGTTGATGTCATTTGCTTCGGTAAATAAATTTCTTATACATATATGATTTGTACAAAAATCTGAAAAAAAAACAAATATTTATTTAGGTCATGTTCTATTTGAAATGGCAGCTGGATATGAATTGCTTACTCCAGAACCTAGTGAAATTAATTTACGAGATATTGCTCACTACCCTCAAGTAAAAGCTTTTAATGTTAAAATAAATAATATACATACATCAAAAATATTTTGAACTCTAGCATGTTTTTAATTTTTAGTTCAGTTATGCAAAATGCATAGCATTTTTAGCTTAATTGACTTTTATTGATGCATTACTAAGCAATGTTATACATTTATCATTTTACAGGTTGTTGAAATTATGGACCATGTGTTTAAAAATCCTATGGGCCAAGTACCAACTATAGAACAATTAGTCATGACTGAATTCTTTAGAAATATTGATCTCAGAGAAATGCGTGCAACGTCCTGGCCTGTGAGTATTTTTAAAAATAGTTGAGATTTTATAATTAATAAAAAAATATTTAAAACTAATAAACATAATATAAAATGTTCTGTTGCAAACATTTGCAGCTATTACAAGCCAAAATGACGGCTTCTTCATCACAGTTATTGGAAACTGTTAGAAACAGAAATAGTAGCAAGAGTGGCTCGTAAATATTTTTATTTTATAATTCAATAAATATATTTATTAATAATGAATTTACAATATACTGTAGGACTCCAAATAACAATGATGTAATAGAAACAAGCACTAAGGAAAATCTACAAATCAGGAAACTATCAATGTAAATGAACAAAATACCTAAGATTTGTTATTAAAATTATAATGTTTACTWTTCTTTGCATATTATAAATTGTAATATATGAATAATTTACAGGAGAAGTAAAAGTTGTGACGATGAAAAGTATTCACATGCAACTGAAAGAAAATCAAATTTTGTTGGTGACAAAGAATGCATAGTAATTTATCCAAATTTTAATCACATAAATTTCTTCTTATACTTAAATAAAATAATAAAATAAATGTAAAATTGTAAACAATTTTTTAGGAACATCGTGGATTATCATTGTATCACCGACAACAGTCACTAGACTTCCAGTTTTTGGGATAATAATTAATAGCTCTCTAGTTAGTCTATTAATTTTAGACTGACACTATTTCTAATTTCGAGCAATATATTTTATTATTTAAAAATTGTTAATAGGCAATCTTAATTAATGCTTACCAGTCATCATCAGAATCAAATTCAGCTAGTGGATCCTTAGACCAGGATCCATCAGAATTTTTTATCCAACCAATTCTGTGAACATTGTTAGCAATAAAAAGACATGTCAATATTATGTATGTTTACTATTTTAAAATGTTTCTTCAGAAATATATAAAAAACWTATTTCTTATACTGACTCAATTTCTTTATTAGTGGAAGGTTGTATAGATTGAATGATTTCTGGAATATTTTTAGACACTGCAGTATGTGAATTAGAGACTGGTTGCTGATAAGGATGTTTTCTTGCACGGTTTATAACATYTTGTAAAGATGTTTTTTTTTTCATCGAAGATACATAACGTGAAACAATGGAAGATTCTTTAGAATTAGCTGAATAAAAAAATAAATAAATGGTATATATATCTAAGAATTGATAATTAAATTTATTTTATTACCATCTTTTGGCAGTTCCAATTTTGTTTTACGTTCTGTAGAACTAGTATAAAGTTTTGAGGCACCAAATGTTCGAATGCAATTTTTTTGTTGTTGCTTAATCTTTATTAACTCTAATTCTTCTTTTCTTTCCAAATATTTACTAAGTTCTAATAAAAGAAAAGTATAATCATTAAATAAMATACAAATTATTCAAGATAGTTATTTAATTTTTTTAACTAAACATTTTAAAAAGAACAATACTATCATATTACTAGTTTGTTTAAAAAAAAAAATTATAAAYGGCAGTTGAATATCATCACACATTGTAAGTCAAAACAAAGATGTAAAAGTCACTTAATAAATAGTAAGGCAAACAAAAATTAAGTATTTAATTTGAATAAGTTCTAYATACATCTTATTAACAATTTTACAAATTTGATAAACTTATTCAAATGAATTTACTTTTTGAATTAAATATATTATATACAATTTTTTTTATTAGAAATACATATTTATGTTTGCTTAATCCATTTAATACTCATACTATGTCAATAGATTATTGAAAATGTAATTAATGTGTATATATATATTTAAACTACATACCATTTAAATGTTTTTTTCCTTTTCTATGAATTGAGAGCACATTAATAGTATCAAAAATTGGTCTTTGAATACAAATCATACAAGTTAATTTTCCATTAGACAACAATTTAGCTTCACCATCTGGTATTTGAATTCCAAGTAATTCCCTAATCCTTTGCGACTGTAACATATCATAAAAATTATATTAACATTTGGTACTTATAATAAGTATAATAATAAGTAGTTAAGAGGACGTCGCGTCGCACTCGCATATCTCTGTCGTACAAGTGCGTAGCATAGCAAATTTTATGCTCAGCAGATCACGTTTATCTTCGTTAATTTAAAATTTAGAGTGAATTGACCTATTATAAAAATTATAGGCTTTTTATTATATTTTAACTTTAAAGCGAGTTATGAGTATTTTTAGATATAAAAACAATTTACAATTTAAAATACTCATAACTCGCTTTAAAATTAAAATATAATAAAAAGCCCATCGAGATGCCCTAGRTAATAACCTATGCTGAGCGTAAAATTTGCTATGCTACGTGCTTGTACGACGGAGACAACACATGCGGGTGCGACGTCCTCTTAAGAAAAGAGAAAGTACCTCAAGACTTTTGAGTAAATCGCTGCCTGATCCATCACATACACGTTTAAATGACATTATAAATGTAATTACTGTTAAGATATTAGGTACTTATTATATAGTTAAATTATAAAAGATTACCTAAAAGAAAAAACAATAAAAATTACCAATTAATTTAAGCAAAAATAAATACAACAATATAACATACGGTGAGTAAAAATTGTGTTCTTGTTTTTGGACACAATGTTAACAACACTTTCAAGCTCTTGAACTGTTTCTCCAAGATTGAATACAGTCTATAGAAATTAAAATTCAATTACATTTTAGGAACAGATATATTTATTTAAATAAATTTTTATTTTAATATGCAATGTTATTAATACTGACCTTATCCGAACAATCAAATGTTGTTTCAATAGTACTTAATTTACTACGTAAATTTTGCACTTCATCTAAAATATTTTTTACACTTAGATCAATGTCATTTTCTTTGCATGTCAAGTTTACCTAAGAATGTACACATGTATTGTAAATATATCATAATATAATAATCACTGTACAAAATAATAAAATAAATAATATGTATTTTGTAATAATTGTTAAGATTCAATGACCAAAAGTTAGTTATAAATAGAGCAGAGATTTATATGCACTAAAAAGTATCAAAATATGGCGTATAATATGCAGTCAAAATTGTAAAAATATGAAAATTCTTTGTTTTATTCTTTGCTGTTAWTGTGTAACTCCTAAATCCATTTTTATTTTGTTAATGTGTCATATTAATTTAATTTTAAACAATTAAATGTATCCACAACACAATTTAAAATATACCTAAGATTGTGATCAACATTCAACAACCAAGTAATTTTAGATTCAGCCTTATCAAAGATTCACATACCTGTCTCCAATGACACGGACTCATTATTACCAATTGATAAACACCATCAAGCTTTTAATATATCGTTAAATCTTAAATTATGATCATTGATCATGATGATATCTTAAAAACAGCTCAAAATTAATTCAAGACTTTAATATCTGTGATTATGTTAATATCATTAWATTTATTGACGACTTGCTTTCTATTAATAATGTAAATTTTCACGATGTAGATGATTATAGTTGACCAATTTTATCATATCTGATATGATGAAATAATTAATTTGCAGCTTTTTTCCATTGTTTGGATTTRTTGTAAGGTTAWATGTAAATTTGAAATTWGTTTTTAGCAAGTACAGGTTTAAATCAAGATTTTTTAGTAAATTTTTTTGCAGTTTTTGGCATTTTTTTCAATTCAATTGTATTTTTGTTGATTTTCCTCATTTATAGTTATTTTAGATACTCTTAAATGTAATTTACATATTTTATTTATTTTGAGAAGGTAGTCAATAGATGTAACAAATGTAATCAGGTTCTAGAAAATAAGGGTTTGAAGTTATACAACAAATATAAAATATATTATCTGACGATAAAATTGTAGCCAATACATTTGGTMAGAAGATTTAACCTTTCAAAAATCTATTTTAAATATGTACCTATAACCTCAGTTGACATGGAGTGCAGCTTTTTGGTTTAAAAGAACTTATTTTCTACTAATCAAAGATCTTTTGAGTTTAAGAACCTGAAGAAATCATTTATTATGCAATGCAATAATTTTTAAGGTGCATACCTACATTTYTATAGTAAATAATAATAACAAAAATGTTTGGATAAMGAGTTCCCTAAACACCAATTAAATTTCAATTTTCATCATSTAATATTTAATTTTTAATTCTATCTAGAGACTATAAAACGAATCTAGATCAAAATATCCAAATTAATATGTTTTTATGTAAATTAGTAGATTACACTTAACTTTTTAATACAATTAACATACAATTATTTAGTTATAAAAATATAGATACTATATAATAATAATATAAATATAAAATAGATATAAATTTACAATATATAAATTACATTTGTAGCAATAGTATCACAAAATATAAAATTTTCTAAAAATTATCMCAAACATTAAATTATAAAATAAGCTCGTAAAATTATTTCAAGATACATATTTATTTTCTAATAAAATTAGAAATAGCATTTATAAAAATTTGGAGTGCTCCTATTGCCATTATGAAATTATTATTATTATTTTTTTTTTGAATAAAGGATATTGAGTAATGTTTGAGCAGTATATTTAGTGATATTGTTATTACAAACATAATTATTTCATTAATTTCAAAGGCTATAATTAAATAATTTGGTATTTCAGCTGATTTTAATGTAAAGTGTAATCTACTAATTGTTGTAAATACGGATAAATTTGGATATTTTGACTGATAGGCTATCATATGATGGGAAACCATTAGTTTAATTTGAATTTTATTTTGTAATATTTTGAACTTATTAATACCACTATCTAATGAAAATAATAAATTTGATAATTCAATTTCTACGGTAATAATGCAATCRATTTTCAAAAAAACTTTAGAGTCTTAGTAATAACATTCAATGGCGTAACTGGAAAAAGATTTAATTTAMAACAATTACTTACTTGATTATTTATTTTCAACTCAGCAGCATTCAAAGTTAACTGTTTGAGTTTATTAGAAGTATTACAACAATGTCTTAACGAAGAGCCCAATTCCACTTCAAACTTGTTGGTACAAGATAAATCAACTATAAAAATAAATTTATAAATAATTAAGTGAAAATGTGAAATCAGTTTAAATAAAWAATAATATTGTAATAAATTATTAGGCTAGTTTTAAAATTATCTTGGATGTCATAATTCACAATCTCTATAGATATGAAAACATCAACAAGCTCCAGAGATAACTCTCTACATAATATCAGGACATAATGTACTTGRATCAATTCATACCATACACACAAAATTGGAAATTAATACACATMCCTAAATTTAAATCCTTTATTCATATTCAATTAGTCTCAAATACACAACCATCGCCAGTACCAAAAAAACTAAATAATTTTAAACTTYATTCATACTCACAATCTTCAGCCATGAGACAAATAGTAATAACCAATTACTATTCAACAATAAAATTAAGTTAAGAGTAAAATGCTTAGTTACTGAGCAATGAGTAATGAGTATACAGAATCTCTGTATAAT